TCCTCAGACCTCATCTTCAGTCCTCGTCCTCAGATCTCATCTTCAGTCCTCGTCTTCAGACCTGGTCTTCAGTCCTCGTCCTCAGACCTCATCTTCAGTCCTCGTCTTCAGACCTGGTCTTCAGACCTCATCCTCAGACCTCATCTTCAGTCCTCATCCTCAGACCTCATCTTCAGTCCTCGTCCTCAGATCTCATCTTCAGTCCTCGTCTTCAGACCTGGTCTTTAGTCCTCGTCCTCAGACCTCATCTTCAGTCCTCATGTGTCCTGTTGGACAGATAAATGTCCTGTTTGACAGACATGTGTCCTGTTGGACAGATAAATGTCCTGTTGGACAGACACGTGTTCTGTTGGACAGACGTCAGTCTTCTGTCTCCTTTCTAAAGTGTGTTTAACACACCGGAGAAAACGACCAGCAACAAAGCAACGCCTCTTGCATTTTTGAAAAGGACACGCCCTCCTGGAAATGTGCGCTCTGCCTTTTCTCATCCACAAGGACACAAACACACAGAGAGCTTGAAAATGGATGCAGAGAGATTAAACTCCATTTTATCAAACGTGTGCTCAGTCCACAAGATTGTGGAAATGAAGGACTGACTGTGCATTCACACCAAAAGTGTCATGAGCGTTACAAGCGGCCGGCAGCCATTCATTTTCAATGTATGCTTGCTACGAAGGGCGTCAGGGGCGTCGGCTGCAGCGAGTGGCGAGATGCCAGCGACCAGAGCGTCAAGTAGAAGTTGAGAGAAGCTGAACTTTATGCAAATGAGCAGCGCCGCTGCCAAAGCAGCAGCCAATTACAGACCGGGATTTGGGTACGGAGGTCTGGGCTCTCCCAGAGCTGTACGAGCCGGTGAAATTCACCGTGGAGTTGCCATGTTTGCAGGACTCTGTGGACGCAGACGGCCCGACGGCTCCGGGCCTCGTGTTTCCTCAGCAAATACGCTGATGCAACAAAGGAGGCTTCCAAAAGTGTGATTAATGAACTCCCGCTTTTTTACCACCAATTACATTTCTCAGTGGTCCTACGCGCCAACAGGAGAGTAAAATCATAATTATAAAAGACTCATAAAGGCTATGTTGCCTGTGTTTATTAGAATTATTTTAATTGTGCAATGAAAGTCATGGATAATACAAAGTGAAGACATATATGATATATTTGTTCATCCTTGTAAAGTGAACAGCCTGGACACATCTGCAGCAGCTGGCCCCGCCCCTTTGGCCGCTACAAGCGCCTGCTGGAGCTGCTGCCAGGCAGCGTGATGCCAGCGACCTGAGCGACCGCTGGCGCTCATGACGCTTTTGGTGTGAATGCACAGTTACAGCAACTTAAGCACTATTCAGACGGAATTAGTTTTACATGGGCACGTGGGGTAATGTCACTTTACCACAGGACGTCAGTAATATTAATGGCCGATTCGCACGGGATAAGAAATATCAGTAAAACTACCACAAGTGGGAGGGTTAAATCCATTCACGCACCTCTGTCCCCTCCTGCCGACATGTGCGTATGATAGGACTGTCAAAAGCACGATGAAATTGAGTTCGTATATTTTCAAATTAATTTAGTAGAGTTCAAATAATATTAGAATTTATTATTATTATTATTATTATTTTTTATTTTTTTTATTTTTTTTATTTTTTTACAAAAACACCAAAACTAAGATGCTTATTGCTGACGCAATATGAACGTGACACTCGGATGAAAACACCCATTCTGACCTCACTGAAGTTCCAGGTATGACCAACTTCTGTCTCGCTATCTGAGCAATGTTTGGATACTTCAGTGCGTAGTTTTCCACCACAAGAGTGGATCCTGGCCGGGTCGTAGTGGTGTCTCATTCTGGTAACGTTTCATCTCTTCTTCAAAAAGTGTAGGCAGGGAGGCAGCAGGTGCACCACTCTCCCTGTATGTCTCCCCAAACAGGTCACACATCACGGGCAGCGCAGTGGGTGGTGTTGGTGCAGCGGGCTCCTCCGTCGGCGCCTCTCCCTCTCGCTGCGTCCCTCTCTGGCACGGCTTGTGTGCGAGCCATCTCCGCCCGAATGGGATTTGCCGTGATATACAACATTATTGATAGTATTAATTAATTATTAATGATATTCGAATTATCAAATTTAGGTTCGAACTTATAAAAAATATATATTAATATATTCAAATATATTTCGAAATTCAAAATTTTTTTGACAGCCCTATCACACATGTTTACTGCTGGTCTATTCGCACAGGATTAGTATTACCAGAGGTAATTGTCCGGGACCCTTTTACAGAAGGTAAAAGTCGCGGGAATGATTACTGACATGGCACATTCGGACGGGACTAAAATCTCTGGTAATTATTACTTTACCCCACGTACCTATGTAAAACTAATCCCGTCGGAACAGGGCTTTAGTTTAAAACTTTTAACGTAGTTGGACTATGTTTACGAGCACAAGAGTTCAGCAAGCCACCGAAGGACCACCCTGTGGATTTACTATTGGTTCTGCAAAGAAGGGAGTTTTTTTGAACTCTGAAATTGTATCCGCCCATCTAAACACAAAATCAGGGAGAAAGTCATCAGTCTTTAGTTAAGCAAAGCGTCTAAAGACTGATGTCTACTGACTTGTGAGTCTACACGTCTGATGAAAACGTCTTACCTTCAGTCTTCAGGCTGATCCACGACAGGACGATCAGTCCAACACAGCAGACGAGTAGAAGAGACACCACGATGGCGAGGAGGAACTCCAGAGACGACAGACTGCGCTTCATCCTGACAGCTGCAACATCAATCAATCAATCAGTCAATCAATCAATCAATCAGTCAATCAATCAATCAATCAGTCAATCAGTCAGTCAGTACCAAATAATTGATATAAATATGATATAAATCTATAATCAATAATCTGTGTCGTCGTCTCGTCAGACAGGATGTAGCGGTCGGTCACACACTGCGTTTCCTGTGACCTCACATTAACTGTTTTTAAGCAGAGCGTGCACGTGTTCCTGAGCGCCTGTTCTTCAGGGCGTGGCGGCTGCACCTGAGATAACCTGAGGTCAGCATTTGGAACACAGCAGCTTGCTGCATGTCATGTGACAAGGACCAACCAATCACAGCCCGCAGATATCTGTTTTATATGTTTGTAGGTGATCATTGTTCCCATCGGTCCCACAGAGAGACAGGAAGTAGATCAGCTCTGCTCTCAGGATGTCAGGTAAACAGGCTGTGATATGGTGGTTGTTACGGTTGCTTAGCAACAGACACAACCTGCTGCTGTGTTGTTTAAAGCTGGAACAGAAAAACATCAGAGCGGTGACCTCACGTTCACCAGGAGGTCAAAGACGCAGCGTGTGAACGACCTCTGAGGAGTGTGTCCTCCATCACAGACACAGGTCATTGATCCTCAGACTGACTCTTATTGATTATCGATATAAAGACTAAACACATGCAGATCTATGATCTATAATCAATATTCCGACAGAGACTCACCTGCTGCAGACCTCAGATCAACCCGTCTGACTCTGACTCCGACCTGAGATCAGCTTTATACAGCTCAACATGATTAATGACTCTTTCAAGGTTCAAGGTTCAAGGTTCAAGGAGTCTTTATTATCCCCGTGGGGCAATTTGTTGTACAACCAGCAGTAATAGACAACAATGAATAATCAAGCAACAATCACTCAGACAGCAATAAATAACAAGAGACAACAGAAAATGAAGGGCAGGTCAGTCACTTATTCAGGAGAGCAATGGCAGCAGGGGCAAAGCAGTGTTTTAATCTGTTAGTACTGCATTTTGGCAGGATGTACCTACGCCCCGACGGAAGCAGCAGGAATTCACCAGCCAAGGGGTGGCTCTGGTCCCCAAGGATGGAACGGGCTTTGCTTAAAGTTCTGAGCTGGTAAAGGGCAGCGAGGTCATTCAGGTTAACACAACTCGTACAATACCCTGCAGTCTGTTTTTGTTTCTGAGGGAGAGGGAGCCGTACCAACAAATGAAGGTGAGGATGGATTCAATAAAACAAGAGTAAAACATCTACATTAAAGTGCTGTCAACATTAAAATTACGCAGCTTCCTGTAGAAATACATGCGCTGGTGGGCCTTTATACACACAGCATCAACTTGAGTCTCGAAGGTCAGCTTGTCATCTATACAAGTCCCAAGGTACTAATTGTTGACCAGCTCCACTGCTTCATTCGCAATCGTAACAGGGGAGATGACGTGGGATTTTTTCAAAAGTCAGCCAACATCTCAGTTTTTGCTGCATTGATATGTAGGAAGGAAGGGCTGCACCAGACCATGAATTCCTTCACTACAGGTCCATGCTCCAGGTCGTCACTGCTCAGCAGGGACACGATGACAGACTCGTCCGCAAATTTAACGATGTGTCGCCCCACATGTTGACTCTGGCATTCATTTGTGTATAAAACACATAATAAAGGTGAAAGAGGTGATCCAGTGGAGGAGACAAGTGTCTGACAGAACACCATTAACCCTCACATGTTGTGGTCTCACTGTTAAAAAGTCAGTAAGCCAGAATATAAGACCAGGATCAATGTTATGGGAGTCCCTTAGTCTCTCTGCTAAAATTTTTGGCTGAATACAATTAAAAGCGGATGAGAAATCAATAAATAAAAGACGGGCGAAAGACTTCCCTCAAGATGAGTTAAAACGAAGTCCAGCAGGGTGCCAACTGCATCTTCAACACCTCTGCCTGACCTGTAGGCAAACTGCAGTGGGTCCAAGTTATTTTGGACACAGGTCAGAAGTGAGTCCTTCACAATTTTTTTCGAATGACTTCATAACAAGGGAGGTCAGTGCGACAGGTCTGAAGTCATTTAGTGATTTTGGAGATGCAGATTTGGGTACTGGAACTATAATAGAATTCTTCCAGAGTGAAGGGACCTTGTGAAGCTGGAGGGACATTGAAAAAATAAAACTAAAAATATGTGCCAGCTGGACAGCACAGTTCTTGAGGACCCGACCTTCAATGCCATCCCGGCCTGGACTTTTCCTCTCCTTGACACGCTGAAAAAGTCTACAAACTGTGTTCCTGTCAACAATGGCTCCTACCATAAGCTTTAGATTGCTTCCTCAGGAGACCAATTCACAAGCCTAAAACTGGCCATAATATGATTTTGGTAAATAATGATTTGTGTGTGAATAAAGCAGTACTACTACTAAAAAAACAACACTGTTCTGTGAGGAGACAATGTTTTTAAAAACTGACAGTTCATCATTAAAATCACAGGCATTCAAACGGTTGTAAAAACTGTTCAGTTTGTTCGAGAGGACCAGATCAGGCTTCCCATTAAGGGATATGTTACACTTCTTGTGTTGCGTCCCCATCATAGATTTTACGTCCTCCCAAGCAGGACGTGAGCTGCCTGAGCTTAACATGCTCTCAACTTTGTCTTTATACTTGCGCCTGGCAACATTGAGCTCCTTTTTGAGCTGCTTTTGAAGCTCTTTATATTGTGTGGTGTCACCTTGCAAGAAGCAAATATTCCTCTGATTAATTATTTTTTGACACCTTTTGTCACCCGTGGCTTATTGTTAGGATGAAAGGGAATTATAGAGCTCTCACAAAGGGAAACATATGAGGAGACAACATCAGTGAGTTCGTTCAGGTCCTCACAGACATTTATAAACAGATCCCAGTCCGTATCATGAAAGCAATCTTGGAGACAGTAAATTGATTCCTCTGACCAAACCGGAACCCAAAGTCTCTCAGGCTTGTTTCTCTTCAGGACAGATTTGTAGGACGGAACTAAGTACACCAGACTGTGGTCCGACAGACCCAGCGGAGCTCTTCTGAAAGATTTGTACGCTCCCTTTATGGAACCAAAGCAAAGGTCCAGACACTTTCCATGTTGAGTGGGACACGTATTGGTAAAAGCCCGTCTGTATTTATCAATACAGCAGCTGATAATCAATAATCATGAACCACTGACACAACATCAATGTCAGAAACAAACAGGTCGATCATGTTTATTAAATCAATCGTTACTGATCAGATTATTGATGAATTAAAACGAAGCTTTACAATTTCTGTGGCTCCGCCTCTCGTACGCCTGTCAAATAATATCTCAGACAGGTGAGGATCAATAATTACCTTCGAGTGAGTTTATCAGAGTCTGAAGTCCAGCTGCTGTAAAGCTGTCAGTTAACCTCCTGGCTCCACCCCCCTGCGCTCACCTGACAGGTGACACGTCGACACTTTGATCCCATTAACGTCTGACCAGTGGAACAACGTTAAACATTCACATGACGAAAGCATGCCGACAACATGATGACAACATCATGAAAACATGATGAAAACATGACAACAGCAGGACGACAACATGAAGACAACATGATGACAACATGACGACAACATGACAACAGCATGACAACAGCAGGACGACAACATGATGACAACATGACCACAACATAATGACAACATGACAACATGGCGACAACATGACGACAACATGACAACAACATGAAGACAACATGACAACATGGCGACAACATGATGACAATATGATGACAACATGACCACAACATGAAGACAACATGACAACATGGCGACAACATGATGACAACATGACGACAACATGACCACAACATAATGACAACACGACCACATGGCGACAACATGATGACAACATGACAACAACATGAAGACAACATGACAACATGGCGACAACATGATGACAATATGATGACAACATGACCACAACATGATGACAACATGACGACAACATGACGACAACATGATAACAACATGATGACAACATGACAACATGACGACAACATGAAGACAACATGTTGACAACATGAAGACAACATGACAACAGCAGGATGACAACATGATGACAACATGAGGACAACATGATGACGACATGACCACAACATGATGACAATATGATGACAACATGACCACAACATGGCGACAACATGATGACAACATGATGACAACATGACCACAACATGACAACAACATGACGAGAACATGATGACTACATGACCACAACATGACAACAACATGGTGACAACATGATGACAACATGATGACTACATGACCACAACATGACAACAACATGACGAGAACATGATGACTACATGACCACAACATGGCGACAACATGATGACAACATGATGACAACATGACCACAACATGACAACAACATGACGAGAACATGATGACTACATGACCACAACATGAC